CAGGAGCCCGTACGGCTCCGAGTCGCTGAGCTCAGCAACCACGGCCTTTCTTACGGAAGTCAGAAATGATTTAAACCCTGGGTTATAGGGTTTAGGGTTTTAGGGTTTAGGGTTTAGGGTGTATTGGGGTTATATTGGGATAATGGAAAATAAAATGGAAACTACTATAGTGTATAGGGGCGATATAGGGATAATGGAAAAGAAAATGGAAACTACTACCCTAAACCCTACACCCTATTCCTCTTCCGACAGCTGAGGAAGATTAGGTAGTTTCCTAAATTAGGGGGAAGATAGCCCCCAAAATGCTATAGTCCTTATTAAAGGGACCCCCAACAAGGTACCCCTAACTTTGGGAAACCCTCATATAGGAGACTGGAGGACTCAAGATGAGAGGAATTTCTAGTCCCTTTAGGCTTGGGGTAATGGCTGTGCAGATGCTGGGAATACCCAAGACTTCCTTGGGCTGCGCTGTAGGAGCTGTTTTCTAGGTCTTGAGTTTTTCTGGGGCTGAATCCGGGGCGTAACATGCTGGGGGGGCTCTTTTGGGGTTTCCAGAATACGTACCGGATCGAAGGACTCTTGAACTCCATATGCCTTGGATAGAAGGCTCCTGCGACTGAGCTCTTGGAAGATCCAGGAATGCTTGTTAAGTGCCATGTCATCATGCTGTGATTGTGGGATGATGCCCATCGGCAGCAACTGTCATCTCCCAGTGTTGACAAGATTCTTGTTGCTACGTTCAGCCGCGTCACATGTGTACCGGGCGACCCTCTTCAATACCCTGACGAGGTCAAGTGCGGGAACCCAAAAGAATCTGTGACACGCTGTTTGGACACTCATGCACAGAGATGCAGGCTGTCGGCCCATGAGATCATTTGCGGGTGGCTTTCGAGGACCACTTCAGTCCACAAGACTAAGTTTCAAATAGCCAGACCCACGCAACTGCCACCGACACCTCACATCAATGTTGCCCAATCTCAACACGGCCTCGCCACCGAGTTTGCAGGGTTCTCTTTGAAGTTAAACTATTCATGGGTGTTGATTGGGAATAGTCGGTGGGAGGCCTAAACCAAACTCCAATACCCTAAACTCTTTATACTGTAGTAGTTTCCATTTTGTTTTCCATTATCCCCATATAACCCCAATACAAACCCTATAATCCCTATATAACCCCAATATACACCCTTAAACCCTACTGGAGCCAATAGATGAGAGGCCGGCTCTTCAGTTGCTTCAGAAACCGAGCCCTCAGGAGGAAACGGAAGCCATAGCCAGATAGAGGCTATGTGGAAACCTTGCAGAAAACTATAATATACTATAATATACTATAATGTACTATAATATACTATAATATATTATAATATACCATAACATGACAGGTAATATTTCATATTCTGGCATATTGGTACACCTTCATTTGTCCTGTGCAAAGGGATAAGTTATAAAAGTGCGACCTGTTTTGGCCGCTCAGGCCAATGGCAGGCCCGAGCTGTTTCGCTGCAAGCATCACAATTTGAAATAGCCAGGCTCCGTGCTCCAGCGCGAATTCAATCCAGTGAGGCCAGCGGAACAAGTCATTTCGTGAAACGTACTTATTTACTGGGGGTTAATAGGGAAGAAGGAATATGTATGATATAGATAGGGAAGATACTTATTCCCCTATTCCCTACTAACCACCAGTAAGTTTAGATGGCCTCACTTTGCAGACTTGCAAAGTTACCCGGGCTACTTGTGTCTCGAGCTGTACGCGCTCTGGCGAAAAAAAGTTGAAATGCCGAAAGGTTCAGGACCCATACACGGAAAATTCTATATGGTTTGGGGTGCTGGATGTTGGGCCTCACGGAAATCAGACACAACATCCAGGGGCGCTGAACCTGCGACTTGGATTCAGATGACTGGGCCCGACCAGGGCTACAATAGAGGTCTCCCGGTCTGCCAGAACTCGGGCTCGCAGCTACCCGCGCTTCAAAGTGTGACAACCTTGCCAGCCCTCAGGTTATGGGCCACAGGAGGATCTGTGAGGCTGCCTGCTGCGTGCAATGGCAGGAAAGGCGCATTCTACAACAAGGGAGAACGTGGCACAAAAGACAAAAGAGTTCCATGAAGCAGTCATGAAAGCAGCAGCAGGTGGCCAGAGGCGGCAGCGTAGGCGTGGTGCGATATAACCCCAGTATACTATAGCAGCTTCCATTTTCTCTTCCACTATCCCTATATAACCCCAATATAGTACAGTGATCCTAAACCCTATTAATGTTGTAGCTTCCATTGTCTTTTCCATGGTGGCAGATAAAGGCTTTGGCCATGTCAGGTGGTGGGACTTGGCACAGGCTGGTGGTGTTCGTGTTGCCAAGAACTCTCAAAACTAATGTAGACCCATGACATAAAAAAAAAATCCTTGTAAGGGCCTTAATGTTAGGATCAATATTATAATCCCCATTTAGGGAAGGGTCTATTACTTAATCAGGGGTCTGGTTTTCTGGCTGAAGTAGACCAGTCGAGCTCGCAGCAACACAGCCCAGCCTCCCAAATGCTCATATATTGATACTCAGGTTCCATCTATATATGTATATCACAAGAAACCATAGAGAGCTCTATCAAAATGGGGGCCACCCACGCTGCACACGCCAAGAACTCTTTTCCAATGCCGGCCACCCTCGTAAATAGGATTCTTCATTTGGGGGCTCTGGAAGCGCACTTACAATCTCGAGAAACTCTTCTACACTGCCTTGTAGAATGCGAGGATAACCCAGTAGCTCAACAAAAGGCCCATGGTGTGTCAGCCTCGGCCCCGCACCCAAAAAAAGCACAACCGAAAGTTGTGAAATCGCCTCCCTAAACCGCAACACCCATTTCACCCTAACACGAAACTTCCGAAATCTGTCTCTCCATGCTTCTCTTCTCCTCCTCTGCTTCTTCTTCTACACGGCACGCGCACCGTTTGCAGAGTACCGCTGGGCTGCGCCCGGTAGCCAACATGAAAGGATGGGTCAGCCCACGAAGAACGCAGTACTAGGAACTCCTACCTCTCGCACGGCAACATGGCCCGAACTTGTCCCTCAAGCAGGGCACGCGCGCGAGTTTTACACAGGAAGTAGCTTCGCCGCTAACGACTGCACTGCTGCCATGTTGGTCGGCTTTTGTGGAGTCGTGGCACGAAGCCTAACTGTCAAAATGGTTGGCCTCTTCAGGAAACGTTCGTTAGAGTGTTCGAGATTGCGTTGTGGGTGCGCTCGTCCTTGAGATCAGAGGGCACCCTCCGGTCCTGCAACAAGCAGGCCCACCGACGGCCCCCTTTGTTGGACTGTTCGCTCCTGCCGCCCGGACGCCCAGGGCTGTGATCGTAAGTTCTAAGCAGCCTCAGGCAGCCTTCCCAGGCTGCCTTGCGCGAGAACCTACCCCAAGACCCTAAGAGCAGTCCCCTATATAATCCTCCATATATAGTCCCCCTTAAGTAGATAGAATATGGCTTTGGGTATACTACAATAAGATCCCCATATACCCCATATTCTATCTACTTAGAGGGCCTATAACCCCCCCTTTCGGGAATTTAGACTATAGCTCACCACTTGAGCCAGAGTCAAAACTCCTGGTATCTTATTAATCCCTAGAGTAGTCCTCTATATCATCCCCTATCTTATATATGAGCCCTTCTTTGAGGAACCCTAAACCCTAAATCCTAAACTCTAAACCCTAAATCCTAAACTCAAAACCCTAAATCCTAAACTCTAAACCCTCAATCCTAAACTCTAAACCCTAAATCCTAAACTCAAAACCCTCAATCCTAAACTCTAAGCCCTAAATCCTAAACTCTAAACCCTAAATCCTAAACTCTAAACCCTCAATCCTAAACTCTAAGCCCTAAATCCTAAACTCTAAACCCTAAATCCTAAACTCTAACCCTAA